ACACAGACACACACACACACACACACACACACACACACACACACAGTCCTCCCTGCTTGCTGCATCCATTCTCTTTCACCCCTCTTCTTTTTCTCCTCCTTCTTCTCCTTCTTATCACAGGCGCACGGAGCTCCAGACTCCGGGAGAATATCTCGCAGGCGCAAAAAAACGTGTGTTTTGTGTACGTGTGCGCGCTCCCGTGCGCTCCCGTGCGTTGAAAAGCCAATGGGATGAAAAGCTGATAATAGATGCAAATTATCCCTGAAACCGACATACACTCACACACGGGAGGAGAGAGAGAGAGAGAGAGAGAGAGAGAGAGAGAGAGAGAGAGGGAGAAATATGAAACAACTCATTTGCAGAGGAGTAAATCACGGAATACCCGTTTGAGAGCGCGACAGGGCTTACAGCGCTAACACCGGAATTGTGATGCGCACGAGCCCCTACTCTACTTCTCCCTCTTCGTCTTCTTCTCCTTCCTATTCTTTTTCTTTTTTTTTGTATTCTTCTTCTTCTTCTTCTTCTTCTTCTTCTTCTTCTTCTTCTTCTTCTTCTTCTTCGCTGGAGATTTTATGGAACCGGTGTGATTGTTGTTATTGTTGTCGCGGTGTTTGTGGCTCTCACTGCTCTGGCTGGCTGCCGTTACGCGCACCGTTCGTCTGTTGTGGCCGTGAAGGGAAACACCACAACAACGGTCACCGACACCGGCGGCAGACCTGCCTCACACCCTCTCTCTCTCTCCATCCCTCCCCTCCGTGTTTGTGTGTCGGTGTTTCTCAGGAAAAAAGGAAAAAGCGCTGAAAGCCGCGGCTCTCTTCCTACAGCGCCACTCTGACTCTGCCGAGCCAAACTGAAAAACAATAAACACAAAAGATGAGTTCATATTTCGTCAACTCGCTCTTCTCCAAATATAAAAGCGGGGACTCGTTACGTCCGAACTACTACGAGTGCGGTTTCGCGCAGGACCTGGCGGGCAGCCGGCCCACCGTGGTGTACGGACCGGGCTCCGCCGCTACCTTCCAGCAGTGCTCAGACATTATGTTGCTATTTTTTTTATATATAATTATTAATTAATTGTCTTATAATTGGCCCCAGCCCAAACTGAAGTCGTTTGCTTGTGTCATATTTGTGAGGCGTCTGTTTGCTACAGTTTGCATGAGACTGGAGCGTGATGTTAGGGCCAGCCTCTCCTCTGCAGTGTGTCTCTGTTGATCAATTGTTATCTGA